TACATAGCGAAGTCGGGGAAGAAACTAAGAAGAACCTAACCTACAACTCTAACATCCCACTCGACATAGAAATCCGAATTAAACCTCGTGGAAATCATCGTAGCGGACGGACGGCCGAGCAAGACGCGTCGTCAATTCCCGACGAAGGAAGCTTTCGAGTTTTCACCTCACGTACTTAGAACAGAACTTCCCGAGCTCTACCGTCCGTGGTGGAGCTTCGATAAAGCAGAGCCATGACCTTCGACAACGGATCGGGAGGGTTACTTAATTACGGCCAGCCTTGGGCACGATCATCGAGGAGTATCGCGAGAAATTCATTTGGAAAGTCTTTGCAGCACTCAACGGAAGATTGGATCAGAGGAGTGAATCATTCACGAGAAAGCTCCTCGAGATAGCTCCCACTTTATTGGTACCAAGAATCGGAACTGGCATTCGGTAATCGATACTTAGCATCCAGGACTTCGATCCTGACGTCAATGGATTTTGACATGAAAAATGAAAAGCGTATCGGAAATTGTTCCGCGGTATGTGCGATCAAGTGATCGATAACGGATAACAGGATGGATTAAAAATTAATTTCAATTTAAGCCAATCCGATGCGATCGGAGCCACGGCGAACTAAGTGTTAATATCAATTTGCAGATAATTCGCATTAGAGGAATCGTGACTGTCGGCAATGAATTGCAAGAGTTGCGTGCAAGAAACTCGGCGAGCTTCCGGGATGTCGTTTTATCCGCCCGCGATAAAATACGGCGTTTCCTTTGGTAAGCTTCGAATTACGGTGTTTTGCCCCGATACTCCGAAGTTTCCGAAGACGACGGGAGCTGCGCCCTTAGATGCAGACGTCGGAGAAGTCCTTGTAACGCGTAATACGAGCAAGTCAAGGTGGGAGGGAAACTTCACGCCTGCGACGAGCTTTTGTTGTTCCCGTGACGAAATATCTTCAAGCCGTCCTATAACTATGACTTAAGCACGACGGACTTTGTCGAGTAAACTGCTCAAAGCGAAACTTTCGTCGTCCAAGTGACACCCCTTGGCTGGCAAAGCTGCAAACGAACCGCCGCAAGCACGTGGGAATAAATTGCAAGTTAACCTGCAATAATAAATTTACCCCCAGTACTTAGTCGAGCTTAACTTTTTGCTTCTGGATTTTTTAATCATTCCCAAGCGACGGCAGATAAAAAACGGACGGCCGCATAATAGGGAAAAAATTTCTAGGGTACTTTCCGACCCTCCTTTGACATGGTCACGTTTGAAAGGCAACTGTCAATGGGAGACGCGAGCATGTGTACTTATGTACAAAATAGTGGTAATGAACTGAACGAAGTTCCTGGACGTCAGCCAAGCCAAACTCCTTGAAATTCGGGAGCGAATATCCGGTGGATTTAAGCTAGGGGAAAAAAACTAGCATACACTGCCTCGAAGGAGCGACGGAATTCGAAAAAGCTGCGGCATCCCTTCCACGGTGGAGATGAATTATTCCACGAGAACTTCCTCTCTCTCTCTTTCGCGGAGTCCTAAGCTTCGCGAGAAAAGCACGTTCCCGTTTTTTTCGGCCGATAAACGTTCAATTATTCGAGGAAATATTTTTCCCCTCCTAGGGGTGGTAAACATCTTAGGAAAAACTTCCTCCGTTCTTTGCGCAAACAAATGCTCGCGGGGAAACGTGGTTCCTCGTCGTAAGGATGACTCGAGCCAAGAAAATTTTAAGGCAATTACGTTTCTTTTTCCTCCAGACTCTTCCAAGTCCGTGGCCGATAAAGCATCGGCGGTAATTCGGCAAGGGAGAGCTTCTCCAGAAGAGTTTGCCAATCGAGGTCGTGACGCAAGCTCAGCCGAGTTAAATGGCGAATTCAAGTGGCGAAAATCCCTATCTTGGCGGTATTATCGTTCGAAAAAAGAGACGAGGACTTTCTCAAGAGAGGTTTTATCGACCGAGGTCAGGGACCACGCTGCGCTGATTTAAATAACGAATGGCCGATCCAGATGAGGAGAGAAATCGGATGAAAAGAGGGCGAAAGCTGTTTCAAGGCAAAGAGGATTTACCGCATACATTTCTACGTTTCAGGGACCTTTAATAACAAATGATACACGTGAGAAATAATTGCTGAATAATTATTTCATTAACTAGATCATCGCGGTCCATCTCGGATTTCCTACTTCGAGCGATATCAGCTCGAGCACGGAATTTATCGATTGGCAAATCAATGGCAAAAGTCGCGTTTGCTCTTCCTTGTGAAAGCTCCCTCTTTAAGGCGTCCTTTCAAGGGACGCTTCTCGCGGTAACAAAAATTCCTCCGGGCGAAGAACGAGCGGTCGTTTTGTCCTTTTCCTCAGCGGAAGGAGGAGGGAGGACGCAGAGACGCGGCGAGTGCGGGAGGAAATGAGAGGCAGAGAGATCGAAGGAAGGAAGGAGAGAGGGCCGGCACCGAATGGTCGAAAGTCCGCGAGATTCCCGCAATTTAAGAGAGGGAGACGAAGCGCCCCAGGCTCGTCGAGACGTTTGCTCCTTTAACGGCCCTATAAAAGGGGTTCCATCTTCCAACCGAGGGATCCTTAATTGTAGGAGCGGAACTTTCGAAAATTTCCGCCGATCGACCTTGCGGTTTTCCTCCGAGGACCTCTAACCCCCTAGGTGATTTTCTTAGTGATTTCCTCCTTATTTCCTGGCTTCAAATATACCGACCGAATCGATCGCCATTACCGCCCCGAGTATTCATTTTATATCTTCGATTTTACTATAATGCAGCTGAGGAAGGGGGTCGCGTGGTTTTGAAAGGAGCACCAAAAAGCCGAGGCGGGCCTTTGTGCCCCAGATTCGGGGCGGACATCATTTCGATATTTTTCCACGGCGATAGAAATCGAATAGTTTGACAGGAAGGAAGTACAATGCATGGGGTGGTGTTGAATTTAATTGATTGCTCCGGACCAAGTTCGTTAATGGGTTTAAATGGATTGTGCCGTTTGGTATATTTATTTCATTCCTTTTTCCAATTTATGAAAATCCTCCCCAAAGCGTGTTGACTTCCTTCTTTCGATATATTTTTCATGGTTTCGGGAGATAACGTCGTAGGGCGATAATAAGACGAACTGCGGGAACGAGGGATTGGGTAACTTGACAGCGGTAGAGCGATCGGGTGTTGATTCGATCTTGAGTTACAGGAAAATGGCGGATTTCCCGTTGATGGGGAAAGAGGAGACCGAGGATCGCGTTCCCATGGAGGTTGGCAGTCATCAACGTCGATTGACGTCTTTAGAGCCCCGCACTAAAAGCACGAGGCCACTAAACTTACCCCCGGAAGCTCTTACCGCGTTACCATCTTCCTGACAATCGCTTCAAGAGCGGGATAAAGTCTTCCTGGCGCGATCGAGGTCGGCATTACGACCTACGAGCTTTCCTCCCGTGAGATACACCATTTAAACCGATCGAGCTTTTCCCTCGGCCTCGCTTGGAAAACTTGTAGCGGGAAAACTTTCACCCCTATCGCCTCCGATGAAAGCGCGAATCTACGAATTTTCTGCTCCGTTGAATTCCGCGCTCGGCTGAATCAACGCGGCATCCTTGCTCCCGATGGACGTACATTTTCTTTCTTTCTTTTTTTTTTTTTTTTTCTATTCTCGTTAGCCTGGAAAAAGTTGGAATGTTCTTGCACTTAAACCGATAAAGCCTCGCGCGATTAAAGCTCTTCATCCGCAACGTATATCTTTCTCCGCTTCTTTATGGAAACGATCCGAGTTGTTATATCTCTCTTATAATTCATGGCAGCTCTTTTGACGATTACTTGAAAAAGGACAAGGTGTTCCCAACACGACCGAGGTCGATATTACGACCTAGAGGCTTTCTTCCGATGGGATTCGCCATTTCGATTGATCCTATTTCCTATCCCCTTACTCGATAAGCCTCCTTCCTTCGCCCCCAATAGAGGATCGGAGATAGAAATTCCCTGGCGTATAATATTCTTTAAAAATGAATTTCATATAACTCTTAGTAATAAAAATGGTAAAGACAATTTTTCCGGAATTTTAGGTTACCGGTAATGTCACCGTTCAATTTAAGATAAAAATACAGAATTTTGCGAAGGTACCGATATCTCGCAGGCGAATTTTCCCTACACGGAAAGAATTTCACCGAAGGTCCTTTCTCTGAATGTACACTTTTCCAAGTGTCGGTAAAACGAGCCATCGGCTGTAAGTCAATTTTTGGGCAGAGCCGTTCGTTTGGTAATCGATTAGCATCACGGTCAATTCGGCGCGTCGCGTTAATAACGAATAGCCCCGAAGATCAATCCCGGCGAATGATCCAACGTAATTCAAGTTGGCCCGTATATTTTCCCCTAGCTCGAAAATCCTCTCGGCCGAACGACTCTCGATTCTATCGTTGGATAAAAAAATCCGATTACCATTAATCAATTCTCACCCGACGTATACGCTCGACGTTAGTCCGCGGGACGCGCCGCATAGCACGTAAACGCTGACGGTGTATGTACCTGCGAAATCCGTGCACCTGCACTTTTCGTTAAAACGACACAATTCGAAACAGTTCCCGCAAGCTCCTCGCCCCCAGGTGCAATTTAAGCAACTTCGTACGAAAGTGATGACGAATCATAAAGTGGGAAAAAAATTTGAAGATTGAAGTACTAATGAAAATGAAGTCGCGTGAAAAGTATAAATAGGTAATAAAAATCCCGTTCGTTTAATCCTCCCCGAGTGCGCCTATCCGTAAATCCTGTAGTAGGTTTCATGTTACATTAAAGGCGTGTTCATAGCTCATGCATTATTTCCCTCATTTAGAGAAGGGTAAATGGTGGCCAACTATAGCCTCGCCGCACGTGTATATCTGTGATTTGCCCCCTGGCTCTCTCACCATGGGGTCTCTAAATCAGTAGTCCGCGCCATCTTGGATTTCGCCCCCAATGTGTAAGTTTCTATACAGGGTGTCCGAGATATCGCGCTTACAGCGAATATATCGTCAAGGGTAGTAGTTTGAAAATGACACTCACCCTCTGCGCTTTCCTCTTATCCGCCCGTTGATTTTGATGATAAATCCGACTGAAGTTGCTGACGATAACGGGCACTGGTAAAGCGATTACCAGTACTCCGCTCAACGAGCACACACCACCCACGACCTTTCCGGCAATTGTTTCCGGTACCATGTCACCATATCTGGAAAAAGAATCGGAGACATGAAAACCTGGAATTCATTCGAAAGAAATCCTCGAGAAGTGTATCGATACAGAGATATGATTGATATTCCTTGAAACGCTTTTCCTTATAAATTCACGTCGGATGCATTCGATGTATGAAACATTGCGCGTGTAGGAAATAAGTACGGAGGGGTAATAAATTTATACCGAGCGTTCGGACAAGTGATATACATTTCATTGTCAGAACTGACCCGCGGTAGAAGATTTCCCCTAGAAAAGTCAAGAGAGAAGCGCACCAAAATCGACCTCGCGATTATAATTAAACGCTAAGCGACGATTCAATGCGTAAAAAATGGCACGGTTAGATGGATAGAGAAAAGCCAAATTCCCTGAGGAATAATCCGATAATTTTGTCGCATGGCCATAACCTACCTTAAGTCCCTAGCAACGTGCCCGTTTCCGGCACCAAAGTTAATCTCTAACCGATCGGACGATAATCGGCATTGATAAGCAATTTTGACTTTGATTACGAGCTCCCCCCGAAGCGAAACTACGCAATAGCTGCCCTCGAGATATTTCCGAGACTAAAGCGTCCGAGCGCTGACGTCACTACCGTTTATACACTCTCTGTACGCGCACATACACCGCGTACAGTGATAGATGTACTACGGACGGACAGCATGCAAGAGACAGCACTATAACCTCTCGGCTGACCCCTCGAAACGATGCAGTCAACGTTTCTCCGAAATTCTCCGACGAATTCCGCCGGAATTCCCCGCGAGGGGTAGACATAACCTCGCTCTCTCGCGCGGACACCGTGTTAACTTTTGACGAAGTGACCTCTCGGGTCTTCTGAATAAAGGAAACGCGTCCAATAAAAGTAGCCGATCGATCGGGTGAATAATTTCACGGTACCCGGAAACTGCGACATAACCTCTATATTCCGGAAACGCTTCCTTATGCGTCCTCGGACACGGCGCTCGTCCCTGCCTCGCGATTCTTACGTAATTGCGAGTCGGCGGGATACGGCCTACATAGACGCCGCATTATTAAAAAAAAATGTGCTAATTGGCGGAGGCGGTAGCCGTTCGTTAGGTTAGGAACACTTTGCTCGAGCGCGAGAACGAGGCGGCGCAAGAAATGGCGCTGCTTCTGAAGAATGGAGGTTAGGTTAAGCGCCATTGAGGCGGCACGACGCCGCGGGAAAGGAAAATGCCCTTTCCCCTGGACCGCTCGAAAGGGCAAAGTTTCCGTTGGATCCGTAACCGATTGGGGTACTCAGCGGGTAGCAAATAGCTAAGATATATAAAACAAATTATTCTCCTCGGGAGAAAGGATTCCTTTGTTTGACTGGAACGATTTGAGCGGACGTAAAAAATGGCATGGGTGGACAAGGACTAAAGGTTAGTCCGTGGCGACGATCCCGGGAAAGGAATTTTCCCTTGAACCGACGAAATAAGGGTCTTTCCCTTAGGACAGCCAATTTCGCTACGCTGACGTCGTTTTATTCTTCTTCCTTTTCCTCATCTTTGTCCGAGACTTAACGCTATATAACCAGGCTAAGTACCATTTATTTCCGTAAAGAGGCATAAAGTTTGCTCGTCTACCTAATTACACGGAATCATTTATTCTCCTTTCCTTCCTTCTCATTAGAAACGAAAACTTCGGCGTATTTAATGATAGTTTCTAAGGTGGAATTACTTATTGTTAGCGGAATTTTAATTCATCAAGGCCCGAAGAGAATTACCCTCGGTTTGGCATCAGAAAATGTCACCGACAACTCTTGGCCGCCGATAAATTTAATATCCTTCCGAGCTCTGCCTCTCTACCGAATATACACAGCTTCCGTCACGAAATGAAATTCAGAAACCGATGGTGGTAACTTTCCTTACCGAAGTACCTCTCAGGAAATGCCGAGAAGGGTGCTCGTCCAAGAATTCCCATGAAATGTAATAAAACGTCAGTTCGATTAAAATGACGTTAATTAATTATATAATAATTTTTCAAGAAATGTATTTCTCGTTCCTGACAACACTGCTGGGATCGATCTCAACACCGGTCGCAATTATATCAGCATCAATTAAAAAGAGATCGACAAAAGAATATCAGAGAAATAAAAACAGTAATTATTTCCGCCGAGGTAATTAACGTTTTACGGATCCCTGGCATGCGTTAAGATTCCTTATTCTCGAAGAACAGGTTGGGGAAAAGGCTCGGAAAGTGTTCGCAGAGGAAGTTAGGCGTAGACAGAAACTGGCACGAAATGTTCGTACCGAAGTTGAGTAACGCTCGACTCCTATCCCGGCGGAAGAGTACTCGCCTCTATGGAATCGAAGCGCGAGATTGATCGCTTCGCGAAATTCCTCGAGCGGAACTTCCTCGGGGAAACTTTATTAAAGCTTTCGCCCGAACCAAATGTACCTCACAATTTATACGACCCGGATAAAGCGAACGAAGCTTGCAATTTGGAGGAAGAAAAAGGAACGATTTGCGCATTTCAGCAAGTGAGAGGACGAGTTTCTTCCCCGAGGGTCCGGCGTGATTTGTCGGCTAACTTTTACACATCGCCGCGTCAATTCCTTAACCCCGTTCTCTCGACATTCCCCGAACTTTCAATTATAAACGGAGGGAAAATTTACAGGCAATATAAGAGGTAAAGGAAACGTATCGCTGGCCGCAACTGCGCGTCGAAACTGCAGCACGTGGGTAGTAAATGTACGAAACACCCGCTGGAAATTCTCCACTTTCCTCTTATTCCTAGATTGTCATAATTTCAGCCTCGAAATCGTGGAAACTGGGAACCGTGAAAAATTCTCTGGAACGAAAGAAAATACCGGTGGATTCTTTGAAATCGCGGAAAAGATTTTGGAAATTAGCCCCCGGGTCTTGACACCGAAAGGAAAATACGGCACCCGTGGGCGTCCTCGCCATTATGGAAAATAATTCATAAAACGTCGCCTTTGATGCTACGGAAAAGCTAATGGCTTAAAGGAGGAGCATCGCGGCTTTTTCCAGCGCGTCATGAGAACGCGAAGAAAGACATCCAGGCGCCGTAGATTTTCATAAAACACCGGGACATTAATTACGGTGCATCCCGACGCCCCCAAGATGGCGGCGGCGCGATGACGTCAGAGAGCTAGCGAGGCTCGTTATCGTCCCCTAAACCGTCTATCTCAAATTCGCGAAGCTCGACGTCACGGAGCTTTAGCCGAGTTTTCCTCGAAGCCTTTGAGACGCCTCTTTAAGCTCCATACATCCTTGGTGCACTCGCGAAGTCGGTGAGAGCCAATGAGCGCTCTGCATTTCCGTTAGACCCGCGAGGTTCGGCCAATCAGGCAGCAGGTCGAAGAGGGAGAGGCAGATAAATAGGAGTACAGAGACTAACGAGGAGTTTAATCCAGAGGCTGGGAATTATCAACTGACAATATCGTGAAACGTGATTGTGTTCCCATATTAATGTATTAATACTCAATAAATACCATATTCAATTAATAAAAGGTATAAACGGTCAAACGTGGATTTAAGCACTCCCCGATCCTGTTTTCTGTAATCGTTACCAGTTATCGTTGTTGAAATTCGGATGATTTCAAATGGAACTTTCCATTATTGAAACGCGTATTTGGCCTCCGAATTTTGAACGGACGGCGATAGTCTGTTTAATGAAGTGGCAGGAAAGGGACGTTTAAATAGTGGTGATTATTCTGCGGTATGTCGCGGGGTAATTGCGATTCCTGCCTGAGCACATCAAAGGCTGTGATTAAGGTGCAAGGTATGGAAACTTTTGAAAAATTACTGGAGCAGGAAGTGCATACGGAAGAGTACGGCAATCATAAGCACCGACCAAACCAACGCCGGTAGCGAATACATAAAACATTTAATGTGAACTTTTATCGAATATCGATAAGTACATCCACTTGCGTTAATGCGATATTGCCACACAAACCTGTTTACAAGCAAAGTATAACTCGATCGATTCCACGAAGCAAACTACAAAGTGCACGAATTATTAATATATATATTAATAATTGATGTACTTCAACGCGACTCATAGGGCGCTTGCAGGTACTTAATCAAGGTGGTTATAATGTTGTCGTAAAACAAACAGCGACTATGTGCAGGAGAACGAGGACATTTTTAAATGGTTCGAGAAAGCAAGCAATGAAAAATAGAAATGGGCTGCGATGAAAAATATTTTCAAAACCTTGCGTATTTCCAGACCGACGGCGGTCGTTCTGCGTAAAAAACAAAGTCACTTGACTCCTAGTATTTCTTTCCTCCTCGGTCCAATACTCAGGAAAGTTATTGTAAAAATATGCGCGTCTTGCTTTTACGCTTCGCTTCGCCTTTGAGTGTTATGTTTAAACTCGAGGAAAGAAGGAACACAAAGGCAGGGAAATAACTTCCAGCCTCGATTAAAAATTCACGAAGGATACCCAATATCCGAAGACAATATTTATTCACTCGAAAATTTAAATATGGAAATTCGCCTACCAGGTTTAACAATAATATTTCGATTTAAAAAGGTACTTTTCCGATATACGCGACGAACGGCAATATTACCTGTATCCGTGTAGAGGATGACCTAAAATTGTTAAAAAATATATAGGCAGACGGCACTCGCAAAAATAAACTGTCCACAGGCTGATTGATTGTTCAGATAAACAAAACATCACCCCGTTTCCATATACGAAGTATAAATCATCCGCGTAATTGAAATTGTATTGTAAAGATTGGATATCTACGAATTCCCATTTCGCGCTGTAATAACTCGTGATACATGTTTTAATATATATTTGTTATAAACATTCATTTCAGTTAATGGCATATAAGTTACAGAAATGCGATTCCAAGTTCGCGGCTGGCGGTTTTACTTTGCTAGTTCTTGCGTGACCAACTTCATTGTTTGGAAAAGTCTCTAAGACTCTTAAAGAAGAAGAAAATACATTCGGCGGGCGGAGTTAAGGTGCTTTTTAAAATACTTCTGACTTCTAACGGAAACGGAAGAGTGTACATAGAGGA